GCTGCTGAAATAAGAGAGACACATGTACCATTGAAGTCCTCCTTGTTAGCAGTCTGCTCCCTGAAGACAGGGTGCTCTGCCCTTTGCATCCATCTCTGGGCATCTTATTTAAAGATAAAATAAGTCCTCTGCTTTAGGACTGGGCTTAGTGGAAACTGTGGAAATAGTATTAGATGCATGGATAGAGAAGGGGGTGCAATTCATATCATAACCCATTTAATAATCAGAGGTAGAGTCCCGTTTCTTCAGTACCCTTCACAAGAACCTGTTTTATTTGGAAGATTATGTTAAGTCTGTGCAGTTTGGCATAATAGAGCTGGGATAGTTTGAAGGAAGTTTTCCATTGTAACCAATACGATGACAAAGTAGATATTAAAGGAATATACACCTCTTTACCTGCTAGTGGAGTTAACTCTTTGGGAAAAAAAAAATTCAAATATCAACTGAAAGAGGTTATCAGGCTCCTGGAAGTAGCTGAGCTACCGAACTACACCCTGGTACCTGGACAGGTGATAGCAGGCTGTGGGGCGAATAAAAAGCATATGTAGGTGTGTTTGCTGCTTTGCTGATAGTGACTTCTTCACAGGTAAGCAATCCAGTGTGTTTACTTTCAGTTCAAGTTCGTTTTGTTTACATTGAGTACCATTGCTGCTAACTTCCAATGAGGTGACACAAAGCAACAGGTTACAAAAAATGCCATCGACATCCATTCTGACAGCATCCATGTCACAATACACAATGATGTACTGGAATTATACACAGACCAAAAAAAAAAAAATAAAATATATATAGCTAATTATTCTGACTAGAACTGAAACTGACAGCAAAAAAGAAAGGAGCCCCCCGCCCTGACCCCGAAGCCCCTGCAGGAATCCATACCGGTGCTTTGGCAGCCTCACAGCAATAAAGTGATAACCAGCCCTTCACATGCCAAAACCTTGGTTTGTAACATCATGAATTCCTGGCTTGGAGAAATAGTTACATCTGTTAAAGCACTTTTTTTTTTTTCCCCCCTCTCTTTCCACCCCTCCCCAACCTGAATCAGCTTCACGTTTTTACACAGGGTTAATACTTATTAAAAATAATAAACAAATGAGGGGTATAGGCACCATAGACTGCTCGAACAGTTAAACGCTGTAGTAATGGAGTCTTAAGATATCCCAGCTTGAAACTCAGCTGCACTTCGGTTCGATTCATCTTAAACAAGAGCCTCATCAGTGGCGTTAGTGAAAAGGTTGGCGAAAAGTGCGATCCTTCTGCTTAATTAGTAGTAGCACAGTCAAGAACCGAAACCACCCCGTCTCTCCGTGTCGGCTGCCTGTTTCGGCTGCAGGCTTCATGGTTTGGATTTCTGCTTGTCAGTCTGTTCCTTGGGTCTTGTGCTCCCCCCCCCCACGACCCCACGTACATCAGTGCTGTAGGAAACAGTCAAATCCACGTACCCAGCAACCCCAACCCCCCCCACACACCCCTTTTTCTGTTCACGATCTCCAGATTTCTTCATGTATGTTCATGCCTCGCTATTCACTAATGAGGTATTATTAGATACTAACAATGCCTGCTCTGCTATGGACATCAGCACAGACCAGTGACACATGAAGAAAGCTCTTCAGTCAACCATTAAAAAAATATTGCACTTACTTTAACCTTAAGCCCAACCTGCACAAGAAAAACAAAACAAAACAAAACAAAAAACCTTAAAAAATATTAACCAAAAGTACCAAACAAAAACCCAAGACTCTGGAGCAATCTATGTTATGCACATATTACAGCGTCTTTTCCTTCACGTTGTTTAGTTGAATTTGGTCCAGTATTTTAAAAAAAATGTCCAGAAATTAAAACAGTTCAAAAGACACCGCAGGCTCGTTAAGGCTTTGTCTCCCCAGTGCTTCAGAAAGTTAAAAGTTTCTTTCTCTCGTTGTCCGTGTACCGCGAAGCAGCGGTCTCTTGCGGCACAACAACTGGCCGTTCAAACCGTCGTACGGGAAAAAAAACATCGGAAGCAAGGGAAGATGGGTGTGCTTCATGGTCTCACCTGGAAAAGAACACCACAGAACCTTTTAGAAATAAAAAAAAAGGAAATAGTTAACAGTTCCTGCTTCACCCAAAAGCAAACATTATGGACGTGGCTGGTTTATTGCCACCACCTAATGCACCATGGTGCCGCGTGTCCTGGCGAGTTGTCCCCGCGGTGTAAGGAAACACGCTTGCTGCCGTGCTCTTCCTAGCCAGAGGGCTGGCAAAGCCCTTGGTGAGTCCATGCAGCCAGGGCCGGGGTCAGGCTGGTCCCCTGCAACAGGTCACGGGCTCCCACGGGGGCTCAGCAGCAAGGCGAGACGGTGGGTTCGCTTACACCAACAGTAGTACCAGTTAGTGCTAGTCTGGTACCAGTCTGGTACCAACCAGAAGCTGTTCCCTGGCTCTAGTCTTATGAAAAAAATTGGCCAGGGTTTCGTCCCGGAGCTGTTTGGTGACCATCTCGCCCCCCAGCAGGCTCTGCTGCCACAACAGCAGTGCTGGCGGAGCACCCCCAAACCTCTGCTGGCCTCCAGGGCCCGGTGGCTGGGAAGTGACTTGAGAATGACAGAAGATACAAAGTCCTCCCCTCTTTTTGACTTTGTGAAGCGTGCTAGGACAAGTGGAAGGGAATGGTTAGACGGCTCACTCAGGATTTCCTGATTCTCTTTTTCTCGGAAAGATGAGCGAGCCAACACACCCGTGGACAGTACAGTGGATTATTTACTGCGAGAGGCTAGAGGGATTTTTCCTCTCACTCTCCACGTGACCATCAGCTCAGAGGGGAATGAGGCCCCAGACCTCATTCTGGGGCCTGGGCAGAAAGCTCCAGACCCCCAGCCAAGCTCCTGGAGCAAACCCCAGTGATGCTGGTTGCTGCTGGGCAGCCGGGATGTGAGGTGGTGGGCACGGCATGCGGCCAGGCTGGCCTGACTTACCACCTCTGCCTCTGCACTAGGACTTGCTGACGTTCTCGTATATGACATCGCTGATGCAGAACTGCTGCTTCTTCTTTTGCCACATCAGTTGCACACACTGGTGAATAAAAATGTATTGTTCCTGGAAGAAAAGACCAAATGAGTGGGCATTTTGGCACCTCAGAAAACATGACGAAAACCCAAACAGTGAAACAGTTGGATGGTTCACAGTAACAGCCTGCACAGCCTCTCCATCTTGCCCTCCTCAGCCCCTCGCAATGTACAGTGAGGTGTCTCCTCTGGAAATAACAGCCCACAATTGTTACAAATAGCAGCTGAGGAAGCACAAAATCCACCTGAGCGGCCCTGGCACCATATTCACTTAACCTGAACGATGTTGAAAGATGACAACAGAAATAGAAATAGAAATAGAATAGAATAGAATAGAAGTAGAATAGGATGGGATGGGATGGGATAGGAAGAGAAGAGAAGAGAAGAAGAGAAGAGAAGAGAAGAGAAGAGAAGAGAAGAGAAGAGAAGAGAAGAGAAGAGAAGAGAAGAGAAGAGAAGAGAAGAGAAGAGAAGAGAAGTAAATAGGATGGGATGGGATAGGAATAGAATAGAATAGTTCAGTTGGATCTAAGCTAAAGTGGGGTCTACTTGATATTGCCTGAAAATGAATTAAGGTACCTGAACGCTTTATGAGCAAAAAATTGCATCTATGCCACATCGGCACCTAAAATATTTTAAGGAACTTCACGTTCCTTAATGCTTGACTTCTTTACCAATAAAAAGCTGAAACCTGATTTTGTTCACGGAGCAGTTAGTTATTCGGGAAGTTATCACCCTCTGTGCAAATGACACTGTCAGTGTGTCAGGTCAATCACATGCACCGTTGTATTTGTGGACAGGTTTTTGTGCAACAAGACCGTGGTTATCTTTGGTTATGTACTGGCTTTTCTAAGCATTATCGTCGTACAGATTAAACACGGTAATTCCATTTGGAATAACCTTAATTGGGGACTTCTAGATTTCAAGAGAGAAGGCAAACCCTGTGAATCCTTGCACTAAGCACTAGGCACAGGGAGTAGGTGGATCTCAAGCAAAAACAGCTGTCCCAAAACCACAGTCTGGATCTCAGCCCCTGTCGCCAGTGGTCTGCTGATGCCAGGAGATAGCGATATGAGCTTGAAGCATGTTTGAGACCACAGAAACGCCCAGATTTCCTCACCCCCACCAGTTTGGAGTGACTGGTTTCAATTCAGAGTACTCTCCAACCTAACCCCCTGGGTTTGGGCATGTGCCATTTGTTTTTTTTTTTTTAACTGCTCAGTGAGATGCTGCCAAGTTTCCAGTGCACGCGGCAACATGAACCCGGGCAAGCTGTGGGCAGGTGTGGGTTTTGCAAGGAAAGCCTTTTCCATGGCCTCTGTGCCCGAGCGTCGGTGTCACCGCCAAAGCCCAGCCCTCAGCATCAGCCCCAGGCAGGCAGGGAGTTTGTGCATTCAAAATAAATAAATAAATAAAACCCGCATCACCTCCGAGGGGTAACGTAGTCACAGCTGAAATAAAACACCAGGATTTGTTTCCCTGGTGTTTACATCGGGTCTGCCTTTGGGTTAATACAGTGAATTGCGATGAAAAGTGGCAGTTTGATAGGAATGAGCCAGAATGGTCTGAGAATAATGACCTTTTTCTCATTTCTAGACGCTAGTTGTTGTCACTGCAGGTTTCCCTCCTGCTCTCCTCTCCCTGCCAAGTCTTCCTTGCTTTGCTCTGGGTTCAGCGATCCTTGGCGACACGTTATCTGCCAGACCCAGCCTGCAAAGAGTGATGGTGGCACTTCCAACTGTATGGAGGTCACCAGCTTATACTGCGTCCAACCAGGGAGGAGTACAACAGGCGTGAAATCTTTCTGTCACTAGTAGAGGACCTGGGATGCATAAAAACTGCTGCTTTGAAAAAAGAGTTTGTGATTTATTTTTTTTCCTTCATGTATTCTGTCAATATGACTAGTCTCCTGACATTTGCCTTAAGAACAGAAAAAGAAATACTCAGATATTTGGGCAGGGAGAGGGGCAAGGAGGGTGTCTGGCACCACTCACAGTCCTCGTGTTTGTTTTGCTCGTTATTTGTATTACTGTTGTGTAACCGAGTTCCTGCGCTCGGCCAGATGTCAGATGCCCTCTTGAACAAGCATGACCAATACTGGTATCATCTCATGAGCCACTCATCCCCTCAGCGAGCTCAATTCTTTTCAAAATGGTTTGAAGATTTCATATGTTAATCTCTTCTAACACATTTTTTGCATATTAATTTCACAGAAGGTAAGAAGAACTCATCCCCTCTGGAAGATATCAGTGAGATTGTAGATATATTATCAGACCCACCTACGCAGCAGATTAATAACGTGACAATATTACAACGAAGATGAAAATTTAATTGTATCTATTTGTAGCTATTTCGTCAAATGTTCGGGGGGAACAACAGTTGTTGGATATGAACACGCTAGATCCAACGATCTATTTATACATAAAGATATTAATATACTTAATAATATTAATCTAATCTTAGCAGATCTGACCTTACCTCTGTCTGCACCATGGACATTCTGTAGGACCGCATGTCAGACACCAGGCCCAATATGTCTACGAACTCGTGATCGCGGATGTGCTGCAGGAGCCGATCCAGGGCTATGAAGGTTCCCGTTCGTCCCACTCCAGCACTGCAACACACACAGAGGTGCAGCTCAGCTCAGGCTTTTCCAACAGGGACATAGAAGAAAATCAGTAGCACAGCTAAAAGCAGGCGTCCTGCAGCTGCAGTCATGGGATGTAGCTAATCTGAGGCGCGACGGGCTGGTTAATCTGTAGGATTTAATGCAGTGCAACCCTTGACATGTTGTTTAGGTAGAATGCATGGAGGGGATGGCTCTGCAGTTTTTTCACTTTCTGATGCTCCTCTTCATGCACTCACAAGCAGAATGCGGATGCACACCCTCACCCACCTTCGCTGTCTGCTCTTCCCACTGTCACCGCTCCCCTCAAAGGTCTCATGAGCCATCTCCAAGCACAGGAGCTGTACTGTGACTGCAGGGACCTGCTCGGCAGCGATGGCTGCTCGGAGGCAGCTGGGCTTGAACCCGCATGATGCACCCCTGCAACTCCCCACGCTGCACAGCTCTCGGCTTCGCGGAGGCACTGCGCTACCGCAGCTCCTCCTTGAAGGACAAACCACCCAGAAGAGTCTGCGCTCCAGGACTTCTGCCTTGGGAGCACGAGACAGAAATAGTTGGCACCCACTCGGCTGACAAATCTTCATCCCCCCCAAAGGGAAGCTCAGTGACTCGAAAAAAGACACATTGCTTTCATTTAGAGATTCTAATGCGCATACGAGTCTTTGCATTGTGATTTCACACGTAACGTTTAAGCCTGATTTCATTTTGTGTGTGGCTTTAGAGGTTTTATAGAATTTCATATAGAGTCCCAACACCACACCTACTACTAAGGACAGAAGCGTGTGTCTTAGCAAAAGTTCTTTCTGCTGTCTTGTGCTATTCTGCAGAAAAGCCTTGAAAGTATTTGCAGTGAAGTTGAACAGTTCATCTCAACACAGTTCAACATAACTCTCACAAAATAGTTGGGTTTTTTTTTTTTTGCTTGTGTTTAGCAAAAACGTCAATATCTTGGATGAGATGAACACAGTGGAACTTTTGATCTACGTATTTGTCAGATTCAATAATTGGTAAATGAATAAATAACAAATGGAGCAGTTGTAATGATGTCAGTTCCATGCCTTCTTTAACAGTTGAGAATAACTGCTGTAGGAGTTGATCTACGCATTCTTTCCACTGATTTCATAGCATTGCTGCTTTTAAACTATGTAGTCTAAGATGTACAGTATACTCTAAAAATACTATCTGAAAATATCTCTCTCTGCTGCTAGAAGCATCCTAATTAAAAAGAAAATACTACAGTTGTTACCCAGCCCTCTGATGCTTGCTTCTATTCCTTCCCAGAACAATTAAGTGGTATATATGGAGTTTGATTTCACAATACTACATAAAAATCTCTTCCCTGGCTTACTAGCACCTTTCTTGACATTAGGACTCCCAGAAGAATATCCTCTATGATTTTGTCCATTAAGTTACAGGGGAGAGCTGCATGATATGTTGCTCTTACAAATGCTGTTGTTGTTTTGCATTCCAGTAGAACACTAAGTGCCATATCTGGAAATTAGAAATGATATTGCTGTAAAAGACTGTTTTCTGGGAAGGAGCTCTCGAAAGTGTGCAAAGTGGTGGCAAGAGACTGTCAGTGCTGGCCATCACGTCAGCACCAGGAAAGACAGCGCTGGAGGGTGCCGACACATCGCGCAGCTGCCTCTGGAGGTGGGTGATGTAGGCTTGGCGGAGGTTAATCTTGACTTGACTTCCATTAGGAGTATGTCACCACGACGTACACGTGTTCGTCCACTGCAAACCATCCATTTATGTATTTCTGAGAAATCTGTTGTGAGTAGCTCTCACATGGGGAGCCACAAGGAGGTTCGAAGTCAGCTGGGAGAATCACATTGGGAACCCATCTGATGTGATACCATCACTAACATGGCAGGTGCCCCCACAGAGGCCAACTAAGTGAGCATTTTAATAAAAGGCCAGATGATGCACAAGAGATAAATCTGACAGCATATAAAACGACCTTCCTTGAAAAAAAAATAAATTTCCATATAACTATTAGCATGGGATACTGGTATTACTGCTAGCACAAGATAGAGCCCTTTGTGTCACCTCCTGAGGGTACCGAAAGCTGAATGACCAGAGGAGGAGAATCTACCCAGAGACACACATCTCAGGGCAACAGCACGCTGAGCAGGCTGCTGGCTGGACCCCACCAAGGTGTGGAAACAAGGGAGCAGGGCAGGCTCTGTGCCGGTGTAAATCAGGATGGTCTGCTGCACCTCCTGAAGCCGTTCGTTGATAACATCCAAAGAGATGACTCTCCTCTGGAAAGAAATGCCTTCCTGTCCTGTCTATGGCCACGGGCTGAAATCCCAGCCCCCAGTAATCAAAGCAGGGCGCTAACCCTTTAGCCTTAAACCCAGAGAGAACCATCTTCAGCTACCAGGTAAGCAGAACCGCAAAAATCTCTCCTTCCAGCTGTTTCCCAACCTATTTCATAAGTTACATCCTTTAGTTCTCCATTTCCCTGAAGCATTTACCTGCAGTGTATGACCACGGGGCCTTTACTCTTTGCTGATTTCTGCCTGACCATCTGTACAAACTGGAGGATGCTTTCGGCAGCGTTGGCGGTGGGGACCCCGTGGTCTGGCCAGGCAGTGTAGTTAAAGTGCATCACGTCTTGCACCTCGTCAGCCTAACGGGAGAAGCAGAAGAGCAGCATGTTCACAGGAGATTTAACAGTGCAGGCACGCTCAGTCAGGCTGAGGGTTGTTTTTTTTTATCGTTCTGTGGTGGGTTTTTTCTCCCAAATACAGCCTAAGAAAGTAAAGTCAGTCAAAAAAAAGTGGCAAAGAATTTACATGATATTTGATTAAAACGGGGAGGCCATCATTATCAAAAGGGCATGGACTCTTGTTTCTGGGTTTGGGATTTGGTTTTTTTTGCTTTTTTTCC